CATATTGTATTGGATTTTAGATTTTTAAATTGTTTTTTTTTATTCCCCCACGCGCAGTTAGACAAGAATTGAGTATCAAATTTTCCAAGCCTTTTTTCTCATGATGTAACTTAGAAATTTCAACTGTATACGTGTCTTTTTCGTCTACATTTTATCTAAAGCATTCGTCGTGCACACATGTTCAGTCCATGGTATTCTCAGCCTCCCTCCGTCGTTTCTGTTGCTTCAAGTCTCTTGTTCATCTGTGAGGAGATTGTCTAGCATTCACTGTCAGAGAAGAGGATTCATATGCAACAGTTCAGCATTTTATTTTATTATTTTTTTTTTTTTTTGTTTGTTTGTTTCTCACGAAATATTCCTGTTTCTTAATCCTTTGTTTAGTTTTTGGAAGATAACTTTCGTTATACCAAAGCACCTTCGAATTTCAATGTCGCACTTCCCAGACTAGAACTGTCTTCTTTAAGCACCTTAGTTTACGAAATGTTTTTACGAAAGTCTTTTTATCATGTCATCGGCAACTTTTTAACTGTCAATAAATAAAACTATCGGCGTTTTATGCAAATCTATTTGTGACAAGATGTCAGAAAATTTACGGCTTCTTTTCAAGCGAATGGCAATAGTGCCTACTCCGGATTCTTGACCAATCATCGAACGACACATTAACTGGCCGAAATCGATTGTCGATAATAAAAGATCCAGCTTTGGGTAAAAGAAAAGATGACAGTCTGGTCAGACCGATACATTAGAGGCAGAATGATCGTAGAGAGGAAAATGTATTTATTATTTGATATTAATCTAGTTAAGATTAATTTCTGGTGACTGAAAACTGTACCCTCAGGGCTTACGAATATTTTGCTTCTAATCTAAACCTCACATTCTGGTAAATGCATTTGTAGTCAACTTTGCCTTTTAATAAACGAAAGCTGACAAGATCTTCTGATGCTGGTTCTAGCCAATGAAGAACTGGTAATGACATGTACGTGTGATTGTCTTGAGGAACCGGAATTCTATAAAAAAATTATTGCAACACTTGGTAATCAGGTGAAAAGTTTGATTGAAGAAGGTTAAGGAAAGAAAGTAAATCAAAGAAAGAAAGAAAGAAAGAAAGAAAGAAAGAAAGAAAGAAAGAAAGAAAGAAAGAAAAAGAAGACAAGAAACAATGAAGTTATAATGAAGGTAGAAGGAGTGAAAGAATGACGAACAAGAAAGAAAGAAAGAAAGAAAGAAAGAAAGAAAGGAAAATTGCTTCCCAAACATCATCACATTTGGCAAACGCGGAAAAAATGATTTCTTGAGATCTGAGAACGCAGTAAACTCTTTCCGTTAAAACACTGATCCCTTGTTCATTCTACAGTACTGTACCCCCTTTTTTTCTTTCTTTCTTTTTTTTTTACAGTGTTGTTCACCGTGTACAAGACCCTGGTCCTCTCGAGGTAGAGAGTAACAGAGTAAGAGTGACAGCTCATAAGTATATGTGCAGAAAATAATGGTTAAATCTAGATTTGGATAGGTTAAGACTGTAGTGATCGAGGAAGCAGTTAGTTAGGAGTCAGTTCCACAAGTCAGCGGAAAGGGTTTACTGCGTTCTCAGATCTCAAGAAATCATTTTTCGTGGGAAAAAGCTGCTTGAGTGGAACTTACATCTCACCAATGCAATACGAAGGGAATGAATGTAGTTCGCTGCAATGAGTGTGGCAAGACGAGTCTTTGGCCGTTAATGGTAAAACTGGTGTAACTAACGTGGGTAGTTCATCTGAACACCCCCCCACAGAAATAGCGATAGGGCAGTAAGGGCTTGTGACGTCTCGTCTGTGACAAAGGGATTGCAGAGTGGAAAATAACTGGTCACCTACAAGGACGCACAGACGCTTCTGGACTCCATCGAGAGTGGGAAGTGAAGACTAGGCAACTCCCGCCCATATATGGCAGCAGTACTCTATTATCGGCCTGATTTGGCTCTTGGAAAGGTTGAGGATAGAAGAAGTCGGGTACTTGCTGATCTGGCTCTTGTAAGGGATGAGGATAGCAGGAGTCGGGTGCTTGCTTATCTGGCTCTTGTAAGGGATGAGGATAGCAGGAGTCTGGTATTTGCTGATCTGGCTCTTGTAAGGGATGAGGATAACAGGAGTCGGGTACTTGCTGATCTGGCTCTTGTAAGGGATGAGGATAGCAGGAGTCGGGTACTTGCTGATCTGGCTCTTGTAAGGGATGAGGATAGCAGGAGTCGGGTACTTGCTGATCTGGCTCTTGTAAGGGATGAGGATAGCAGGAGTCGGGTACTTGATGATCTGGCTCTTGCAAGGGATGAGGATAGCAGGAGTCGGGTACTTGATGATCTGGCTCTTGCAAGGGATGAGGATAGCAGGAGTCGGTTACTTGCTGGAGCGGTAAACGGAAATGACCATTTTCTCAGCATCTTTAGCGATAGATCGTAGGTACGACTTCCACTCTGGTTTGAATTTAAGTCCCAACACGCTCTCAATGCACGGGGCCTCCCTGAGGGAACACCCGTTCAACACGATTGGTGAAAGTTCTGGGCCCGATCGGTGATGGTAGAACGTCACTTGTTTGGATCTTTGAATGTAACCAGCCAATTTTCCACCCACGGACGAGACACGGTGGAGACTTGGATTGAGGAATAGGAGAGCCGAGTTCGAATTCCAGTCAAATCATTTACAGTCACTTACGTGCTAATTCCCTTGGGAAAGGTATGAATCCTCTTCTTCTCCACTCGGCTATAGGTAAATATCAGGACAGACCGGGTTCTATAGCTTTGGATGGTAACTGATCTACCGCAGAAAGAAATGGCAGCTTACTGCGGGAAATCGAAAGATACATGATCGCCTTAGCGTTTATCACGCATGGCGCATAACTGACTTCGCAGAAAGAAATGGCAACCTACTGCGGAAAAAAAAATCTGCTTCGTCAGTCATGTATCGAAAGATGCTAGTTTAAGTCAGAAGAGAGATCAGCTGCCAAGCTTTGGTCATCTAGATTTTTGGAGGAGCACTTTTGTATCCCCAGCATAGATATTCACAAATGATGCCTTTCATAAAAAAAATGCTTTATAAAGTGAAGGTGATGTCAATCACTCTGAATTGAAAATGATGTAGCAACACAAGAAATCGCATCAAAAGATTTGGCAAAGTAGCTGGTGTCGATGACATGGCTCCAGAGATCTGGAAACATGCCAGACATGCTCTGCATTAAAGACGCGACGAATTCATTTTCAGGCGTTGGGACCAGAGAAGACAGAACCAGATTATTGCAACACCGTGCTATTAATAACCTTTGAAAAAAACAAAATTGCAAAGACAGATTGTTCAAAATACCGGGACATCACTCAAGTTTCGAGTGCAGGCGAAATCCTAACGAGAATATGACTAAACAAAATCCATTATGCATCGTATTCATTAATGACTTATTTAACCATGACTCTCCACTGCTTTCCTATCCATTGCATCTCCATGCAATATTTGCTGTGTACCGTGTAATCGAATGTATAAAATATACACGAGACATTAACTACCCCTTTTTTATTTTTTTTTTATATATATATATATATATATATATATATATATATATATATATATATATATATATATAAGTGACAAAAAAGAAAAAGATTTTGTGACACGTTTCGTCCTTTAGAACTTTCTCGGGAACAATTTGTTATGTTGATTCGACTACACATGCGCACGAACGAAGGATCCGGGAATTTAAAATTTAACTTTATTTAATACTATTTTTTTTTTTAATCTAGTCGATTTCATTTAGATTCTTTTTCTCGGCTAGATAAAAAAAAAAAACTCAGATTAAAAAATTACAAATTCCCAGCATCCCTCGTTCATGCGCATGTGTAGTCGCACTAACATCATAAATTTAGTCCGATGATGTCCCTAAGGACGAAACATTTCCACTTTTTCATACATTGTTCTTGATATATAAATAGGTATCGTTATTTCATATATATATATATATATATATATATATATATATATATATATATTTATGATTGTGTGTGTGTGTGTGAGTGTAAGTGTGTGAAATGTGTGTGTATATATATATATATATATATGCAATTTATTATATGTATTATTCATATATCATATATGCGCGGTACCTATTGGAAAGCGCTCAATATCAGTGATAGAGCTAACTTATTTATTTGGGCTGACGTGAGATTGTGATCCTGGGTTTCACGCTTTTGCGATCGTCAGACAGAGTCACAAACTTACATCTCTCCAACTAAATATATATATATGTGTGTGTGTGTGTGTGTGTGTGTGTGTGTGTGTGTGTGTGTGTGTGTGTGTGTGAAAAGTGTATATAAATATAAATAAATATATATATATGTATAATTATCTATATATTATATGCGCGGTACATATTAGAAAGCGCTCAATATCAGAGATAGGGCTAACATATTTGGTTGGATAGATGTGAGTTTGTGACCTGGGTTTCACGCTTTAGCGATCGTCAGACAAATCGCTACAGCGTGAAACCCAGGTCACAAACTCACATCTATCGAACATATATATATATATATATATATATATATATATATATATATATATATATATATATATATATATATATATATAAAAGTGTATGAAAAAAAAAAATATGTATATAAGTGTATGACAAAAAAAATGGAAAAATATAAACAGTAAATTGCTGATGTCCCTGAAGAGCGGGCTGACAGTTTTGCCTACGAAACTCTAGATTCGATATGAAGGTAACACCAATCAGCTAAATGACAAAGTTTTACTAAATTTTATTTATATAATATATATATATTATATTATTATATATATATTATTATATATATATATTATTATATTAATGTTATTATATTATTATATTAATATTATTATATTATATATATATATATATATATATATATATATATATATATATTAATATTATATTATTATAATAAAGTTTATTAATCCCATATATATATATTTTTATATATATGGAGATAGATAGAAGAGGACTCAGATGGATACATAGATAAAAGAAAACTGTGATAGATAGATAGATAGATAGATAGATAGATAGATAGATATTTTACGTATAAAAAGTTGATTGCATTTTGAGCTGGTTATCTGAGTTCGCGGTCTGTTCGTACTTACAATTTTGAACACAGAATTTCAAGCGGTACTTCCATCTTAGAAGCATCAGACAAACTGTTACATGACTTTAACTATATATATATCCACCCAGGCATATACATATATTAGAGCCATTTTTTTCTTTTCTTTTTTCTTTTTTTTTCATACGAGTACATTGTTGTAATTGTTTGATTTTTGTCTCTTCAGTTTATAATTTGCATGTTGGTCTGTTCCTTTTGCTAAGAACCGTGGATTCGCTCTTCTTGCAATTGACGTATGTTTTAATAAATCAGCTTTAATAATTGTTAATTCCTCATCTTAAAAATTCAGATACAAGAATATATAGCTTTCTGAAGAAAAGACATGGAAACTACTTTGGCGATTGAGAAACGAGGCTAGGAATTCACTCAATAGAAAAAATGTTTTTTGCAAAAAGTTTCGGAAAATCTTTACAGCAATCTAATCTCTATCGTTCTAAATCCCAACAGTTTGTCGTATTTTAACTGATTGTGTAAAAACTGAACTTCGCGAATATCTGTATATATGTCAGTGTGCTTCCTCTAGTTTGCGTATGTGGTTGTGAACACGTATACACACACACAGTCAAATCTGAACACTGTGACTTTATTGGCTATATTATGTTTCTGAACACGTTCAAATTTACTTAGTCTTCCTTATATTTTGCATAAATTCCCCAAGTGCTCTAAAGGAAGCGAAATTACACAGACATATACGCACACATATCCCGACGCTGTACACGCACACCGACATGTAAACATCAAAAGTCTTATTACATTTTCAGTAAAAAATACAACAGTTTTTCTTCGTAGGAAGTGTAACAGTGTCAAAATGAAAGAACCGTGAAAAGAAAAGAAACAGCTTTGCGATAAAAAAAATAAAAAATCCTAAACAATGAAATTGTAAGAAAAAAAAAAGAAAATTGTGAAAAGGCCGATAGTGTCAGCCATCTTGTTTGAACGAATTATTGGCGGGAATTTTACCTTTTTTTCTTAATTTTTACTATTTTATTTTTTATTTTATTTATTTATTTATTTATTTTTTTGGATTGTTGGGGGAGCCACACGATGATTTTGGGTTTGTCACGTGACCGATTTCTTAAATCAGCAATCGTTTGACATTTGCTGATCCCTGCGTTGAATTTTTTTTTTTTTTATCTGCTGTGGAGGAAATTACATTAGGTAAAAGAAGAAATGAGTAACCGGGGAAGAAGAGAATGGGGGAACCAATAAGACAAAAAAATAAGTAAAAAAGAAGAAACACAAAAAAAAAAAAATGGAGAGAAAAATCGGGAATGAAAAAGAACGAATGGAGTACGACGACATTTTTCCAATGCTCGAGTTCAACTTGAAAAAAAAAATGAATGAAACTGATGGGGAGATAACTGATGCTGGTCTTCTTTTTTTTTTTTTTTTTTTCACTAAAGAAATACAAATCGGCAAAGGAACAGAAAGAGAGATGAGAAGGCCAGAGAAAAAATGAAAGAGGAAAGGCGCGAAGACTGGCGTGAAAAAAAAAAAAAAAAAAAAAAAGATACAGCAGCTTAAAAGGAAAAATAATAGAAATAGAAGGAAAGTGAAATGTTAGTAAGAAAGAGGAAACTAGAAAGGAAGAGAAGGTCGAAAAATGGCGGAAAAAAAATAACAACATTTTGTTGAAAAAGAATTAACAAAAAGAAGGAAAGAAATTTGGAAAGAAAAAAATATCAAAAATGTATAAAAAAAAAAAGGCAACGTGATAAATGGATAAAAGATGTGAGGAGACGAAACTCAATTTTTGAGGGAGGGAGAAAAATGGCGGAAAAAAAGAGTAAAGAATGATAGAAGGTAAGGCAGAGAGAAAATGTATCGTGATTGGAAGAAAGGAATAATGGAAGAACAGTGAGAAAGAAAAGGAGAAAGAGAGAATGTTATGACTATGGAGAGTGAGAGTGAAGGATAACGGATCGAAAAGAGAAAGAAAGAGAGATGTAAAACGTAGAGGAAGCAAATTTGAGACCTAAAAAGGAAGATGAAGAAATATGAAAAAAACAAGATGCCAAGAAAAAGGAGAAACAAAGGATGAGAAGATTGAGAGAGAGAGAGAGAGAGAGAGAGAGAGATGATTTTTTAAGAGAGTGAGAGTAAATGTATTAAGCTGTAAAGAAGAAGAAGAAAAGGAGGCGGAAGAAGAAGAAGAAGAAGAAGAAGAAGAAGAAGAAGAAGAAGGAAGAGGATTAGAAGAGTGAAAAAGAAAAGACGAAAAATAAGAAGGCTTTGATTGTGAGCTAGACATCAATACGAGTTAAAAGTAAAAAAAAATACTTTTATAAAAAATACAAAACAAAAAATACAGAAAATAAAACAGAATAGAGAAAAAAATGTAAATTGATAAAATAAAAAAAAACAACCTAGCAGCACAACTCCACATATACGCAGAAAAAAATAGTGTTAAGGAAAAAGTTAGGGAAGGAATTCGATTTTATTAATTTGCGCGGGAAGTCGATCGACATGGTTGAATGGAAGCATTCCCAAAATTAATCAACCAAGAATCATCGTTTAAAAAAACCCAACAAAAACACTATTATTAAAAATCAAAAACATGGGCTTAGAGACAGTACCATGCACGCACACACGCATACACACACACACACATAACATATATATGCGCACTAAAACACAAGTTCACACGTATACGCGCACGCAAACAGGAATACAGACACATATACATGTGCATACTATATACTCGGGGAGACAAGTATGTCTACTAATACAGCTGAGACAAAGTTGACATTGAGAGAGCAATGTAAAATTCGATTGTATTTCGCAAAAAAAATCTTTTGTAACGACCAAATTCGATAAGTGAGTCGGCATCGATCGGACTGGTGTAAAAAATCGTCAAGGGCCATCGTTATTGTTTATGACACTTTTTGTTGCCTGACATTTTTTTTTTTTTTTTACCGTGGAGTTTAGATTTAATGTTTCTTTCATAATAAAGCTGGTATGCGTGGCGTAATAATATATGGCGCCTATAAGTGGAGACAGCATATCGGTTTCGATCTCAGGCAGTGTTGAAATAATTAATCTTTTTTTTCTGATTTTTCTAAAAAGATAACTTATTCATCAAATTCATCCTGGTGAAATACATACTGTAACTTCATTGCATTCCAATATTTTTATGGTTGTAAATTTTATATCAAAGATGATAAAGTTTAGTGCCTGCATTCAACTAATTAGTTGAATTAGATGCGTTAAAGTAGATTATATTGAATTAATGAGATTCATCGTGTATTTAAGCAGTTGAATGCAAAATTAATGCAACCACTTTATTGAAACTTTTGGTGCAGGAATTCATTTAAGAAAATCTCCAGATCTGTCTTCCCTCTGTCTTTTCTACAAATCTTTTCATGGCAATTGCTTTGAGGACCTTTTTTCCCTGGTGCCTCGACTACATTTAAGCGTGCTACTAGATTGGCATCTAGGTCCCCCGCCTCTTACTTTTGAAATAGCTAAATGAAACCGACAATTCTAATCCAGCAGTTTCTTGCCTCGCCTTTCCCGACAGTGGAACTCACATCCGTTTACTTGCTTCACTGATAACTACAATCTTCAGAAACTTAAATGCAACGTCAATCGCCATCTTCTATCTTCTTGGATCTCGTTCATATTTTGTCCTTTACTTAATTATTCCTATACTCAATGTTTTCTCTCGTTTTTACCACCTGTAACCTCCTGCGAATTGGTGGCATTCTCGGATTGCTTTGGATGAAATGATTTAAAAAAAAGAATGTTATAGTCGTTTTTCGTTAAATACATTAAATAATATTTCTTTTTCAGTACATAGTTGATCATGACTCTCCACAGATTCTTTTTCATTACTATTTGTGGATTAACATGATCTCTTATTTCTCGGTTTTGGATTTAAAGTGGCCTTTCTCCAAGACTGGCCAACACTTAAGTTTAGGGCGCCTAGTAGACGCTACTGCTTAAGCCATGGCTGCTGTGCGGTAGAAGAAAAAGATTGACGCTCTCTTTCAAGAGTATCAATGCGAAATCGAACTAGGCCAGAACACACGCGCTTTGAAAATAAACTGCTCATACCAAGACTTTTAATATAAAAAACTATATTTAGAATTTAATGAGCGCGTGGCCTACTGGTTACAGTTCAAGCGTTCCAACCGTAAGACCCGGGTTCGAATATCACCATTGCCGACTTCTAATATAAATCTTGGAGGGATACTATCCGATACTATTGGAGAGTAAACGAAAACACGGCCGCTGATTGACCTGAACTTTGTAACTGAATATAGGTAGACGAAATAATTCGGATGCTCTCGTTGGTTAGGCTAGGTTTGGGGCTTACTTATCTTGCCCAACTACTGATCACGCTAGAGTATACGTTCTCTTTAAGAAACTGTAAAAAAAAAGGTGCGCTCAGTATAGTCCCAGTATGAAGAATTGGTTGCTATGCGGACGTTGAAGAAACACTGATCTACCTGATCGGGCATGTGCAACAAGAATTGCTTAACCAACCCAGAAGAATCCACAGTCTCCCGAAACTGAACGATGGTGACATTTAGAATAAACAGTGGAATTTCCAAGTTTAATATGTGAGAATTGGTAGATATTGTTACGGACCAAACAAATGGGATTTTGTTATGGAACCGGCTGTAGCGTGATGATCGGCTAGTCCGACACGCAATCAATGGCTAGTGAGTTCGATACCTGGTAGATTTTTTTGTCGTCGCCCTGTGCTAAACTATCACCTCCATTCAGAAAGATAGATGTAACAAATCAAGCACTGATGCGTATGTTTTCATTTTCTTTCGGCTGTTATAACACTTTACAGATTGTTAAATATCTGTACTTATACGCAGCTCTCATCATTTGTCGTCGTTTTTGCTAACGACCGCGCATTCTTTCTTTTTACAATTGATGGTTAGACCTTTTTTTCACGCTGGATAAAGCGTTTGGTTTCAGAAGAGGATTACCTCAAAGGAAATTAAATATTGAGTTGATATGCGCTGTAGTAGTTTTTTGGTTTATATATATATATATATATATATATATATATATATAATCAGGCCCGATACTTTTCGTTCAAACCTCGTAAGTGAACGCAACGAACAGCACTGGAATTCGAACTCAAACTTTTCGATTTTTCGTTCCGAGCCGATATCCATTGCACCACGGCACACAAGGGGAAATATATTAACTCATTTAAAATTTAATAATAAAAAAAACACAAGAAAAAATGAGTTCTAATGATAAGTATGCTTTAATTAGGAGTGGTGTCAAAGTTTTCGAACTTTTGTCGTATGACCGGAAGTAATTTAATAGCCTCATGAAATTAGTACAAAATGCGCACATTAAAATTGTTTTTCTACACTTTCCCCAGAATTTAATATCCTCGATTATTAGATGATCTAAAATATAAAATGAATTCTAATGATAAGTATGCAGTAATCAAGAGCGGTGTTAAAGTTTTCGAACTTTTGCCACATGACGGGAAGTAAATTAGTAACCTCATGAGATTAATACAAAATGAATACGTGAAAGTTATTTTTCTACACTTGCCCCAGAATTTAATATCCTCGATTATTAGATGATCTAAAATGTAAAAAAAAAAAAACAAGAAAAACTAAGTTCTAATAATAAGTATGAGGTAATCAAGATCAGTGTCAAAATTTTTGTAAATATGTATTCTGTATAATTGCTGGAATTCAGTGGGAATTAGTGATTACGAATTGCTGTGACACGAGCATACTGCTACTGTTACAGAGAGTAGTTGTGTCATCTGAAAGCAGTACTGAAATAGAAAAGGTAATTTTTCAACTAAGACTGTTGATGGCAGAAGAACCAGAGCATTACGTCCTTCTCTAGGTCATCAAGCACCTCGATCTGGTCACCCAACACCCCTTGAGCGTGCAGGACATGAACTGGCCTCTGTTACAGAGTAACCTGATACATCATTCATCTGATTGCCGACTCTACCACCTTCAGCAGCACGACGATAATCTTCAACGAATTGCTAGGGACCGTGGTTGATGATACCAGAGACCTAGTGGAAGAAAGAAAACATGATCTTAAAAAGGTGAATACATAACATTTTGCTTTCTCTTGCCAACTGATGTTATGTCCACGCCAGAGACCCCCAGCTCATTTCATTCCTAAGTTTGAACATGAAGGACTTTGTATATATGTGGGGAGTATTTCGGTCGCACCATGTATATATATATATATATATATATATATATATATATATATATATAAAGTGCGGCATATACATCTCAGAAATACCCCACACATAACAGTAAGACATTAGTGGCAAGAGTGTCTTAATCTAATGATAATATATGTTATATATATATATAATAATATATATATAACATTTTTTTTTTAATTCCGACTTTATTTCTTATTACTAGAAACATCGCCTTAATCAAATTCTAAGACCTAAAATAAAGTAAAACCAATAAGTAAAACCACTTTTACGCTTTTATTTATTTAGTCTCGTGGCTATTACTATTATTATTATTTATTTACAAATTCCACCGCTCTCAAAGTCCACAATCAGTGGGAGCCAAATAGCTCTACCCTGAGAATAAATGGCTTTTTGGGTTCAGGACAGGAGTAAAAGCATAAGGGACGATAAAGTACTTGTCTTATATATATATATATATATATATATATATATATTAATTCCGACTTTATTTCTTATTACTAGAAATATTTTATTTAGTCAGTACACGTGCTCGATTAGATATACGTATTTTTCTTAAACAGTCAAATTAATGTCTACCGGACTAGAGAAAATGTACAGTTACTTTTTTCAATAAGTAAAACCACTTTTAGCTTTACCATTAAGCCACGGGAATCCGCCATGACAAAGCAAGACAAAATTACCTTACATAATAAATGCATATCTCTTTTTGGGGATTTTCCGAAATGTTTATTTGCTAATTTTATTTTCGTATACTAAAATGAAACACAGTCCTTTTTTTATTAGTTGATGAATATTTTTTTTTTCAAATCTGGCATTTTCTCTTATGTAACTAAACGAAACATTTTAGATTTCAGGTTTCTTCCAAACCAATCCCATGTTAAATTGTCTTCTAATCCTTATATATTTTAATTATACTTTTGAACGTTTGACCAGTTTTTACCATGGCTAAAATTCCACAGTTCTCAAAGTTCACAATCAGTGGGAGCCAAATAGCTCTACCCTGAGAATCAATGGCTTTTTGGGTTCATAAATATGTTCCGTTTCTCAACCACGGCCCCAAATCCAATTAAATTAAAAAATAGAAAATGAAACAAGCTTTGATCTCGTTTGGCAACATTGGGAAGGGTAATAGTTTCTCTGTTGATCTGTCTTATGGACGTAAAGTTTTAATATTGACAGTCTCGTGGCTATTATTATTATTTATTTATTTATTTATTTATTTATTTTTGCAGATGGTCCAATCCCTCTTCTTTTATTTTTACTAATTTTTTTTCATATTCTTATTTCTTTAGTCATTTTTCGAAGTCAGAAGGACCCACGGTTGATCCGGCCACCTGTCTCCAGGGATTTGAATATGACGTTGCATCCACAAAGATTTCCATGTATTGATGGGGTTCCACATCGATGTCAACAACAGCATTCCCATAAAAGGGAAAACGCTATTTGCTGAATATATATATATATATATATATATATATATATATATATATATATATATATATAAGTAGATGTTGTTGGGTTTAAAAAATGCCAAGTAAGTAAATCAGCAAAATAACAAACAGGATAAAGTAAAATCTTTGAAGCTCTTTTCATCCGAAATGGCGTGTTTGTTGATGCTGCCGGGAAACGTCTTTATTCTTACCGTCTTTTTCTATCTCATCACGCACAAGAGCTCAGGAAAGCATGAAAGAATAGCGGGAAGATAAAAAAGAAAAACAAAATTAGCAGCGCAGCAAGGAAAAGAGAAACGTAAAATATAAGGGACGATAAAGTATTGAAAACGTCGTTGCAAACAGAAACGTGAAAGGGGGATAGAAGAGTAGGGAGGAAAAGAATCGTGGGTCAAAGGCATTTGAAAAACTTACTTTAAAATGACGACGCATGAGCAGTGCATTCGCCAAACGGAGTTCAAGTTCCGGATTCTACCGTTGCTTTTCCATTCGCATTAATCATATTCAAAGACCTAAAATAAAGTCAAATCTCGCCGTCAATTTAACTTTTATTATAATAGATTTTCTTTAGTCTTTTCTCTATCTCTTTATACGTATGCGAATCTTGGATATTTTAAAGAACAATTACAACGAAGAATTCAATCATCAACATCTGCTATCGTCTCCCTTTACAAGAGCCAATTCCAACTGAAAATGGAGAACTGATGTTATATTTGGGTGGGAGTTTCCCAATCCTCACTTTCCAGTTTTGAGTTTGATGTGATGGAATAACCTGCCACCCTCACGAGTGGTGGCACTATAAGTAGTAACCACCTATAAGTACCCGTTAGGACAGCGGACAGGAGAGACGAGCTGTGATCTTGTCTCTCGTTTTGTTCGACTCTGGTCTGTGCTTGACCGAATTACTGACGCGTGTGGATTACTTTTGCTTGTTACGACTAACACCGTTCTTGTTCAGTTCAATTTTATTTTATTGGTAACGTTCTTTTGTTGACTGTTATCTCGAAACTTTTTTAAGATTTTTTTCTCCACTTCTTCCTTTCTTTTTTTAATTTATTACATTCACATTTCTAATTTTGATTTTTATTTTTAGCTTTTACGTTAAAGTCTCCTTTTTAATTAACTTTTTTTAATTTACTAACCTCCGCTCCCACAGTTTATCTGTTTTGTTGTCGTCAGACATTATTTTTTTCTTTAGTTCAAATTACTACGTTTTAATTGTTACGTGTTATTTCCTCCTTTATTTTCTTTTCCTTTTAAATAATCTTTAAGTCTTCTATTCTTTTATTTTTTCTGTTTTCGTAATTGTTTTGTTTGTGTTTAGATAGTCTAACGTGTCTGTTTTCTGTATTTGTTTATTGGCAAGCCTCTATATTTTTTAGTGGCCATCTTGATTTTGTATTATTTCGTATTCGTGTCTATAACTTGGCAAGCCTTTATTTTTTTTAGCGGTCATCTTGAATTTGTTTAGTTAATAATTTCGTATTTGTGCCTGTAACTTGTCCTTTCTTGTTTATTGGCAAAACTTTATTTTTAGCGGCCATCTTGTTTTTTTTTGTGGGGTGGGGTATGTTATTACGTATTGTTGCGCATTCATGTCTGTAACTTGTCCTTTTTACTTTTATATTTAGTGTAAAAAAAGATTGTTTAAAGTGTTTTCTTTATAGTTTTTCTTATTTTGTGTATTTTATTGTTTTGTATAACGTTTGTTTTGAACTGATGTATTACGTTATAATTTTGTGCATATTTTATATTTGTGACCAACTGTTCACGTTTTAACTTTGTGCTTTTCTTTTTTTTAACGTATTTTGTAACTGTTATTTGTTTGTCATTTTAAATTTGTTTTTTTCGCTGCCAGGTGAACTTTGTTTCAGTTTTTTCCCTCGTCTATAGGCGACCATTGATTTTTTTCCACCCCTCCTCTTCCTTTCCCGTTGTTTAAATCCTAAAGGTGGAGAAAAAAAATCCCATCCTTCCTTATTAAAACGAAGAAACCTGTTATGGCCGGTTTGAAGAGGTCAGTAAAGAAACATTTATTTTATGTAAAAAAAGCACCCGCCGGATAAGGATGACCCTGAGAAGTACCCAGGTTTACCAAGCGTACCTTCAAATGAGGAAATCGTCCAAGCTTTAAAAAATGCTACTAAGTCTACGGAGGCTGAAAAGAGCCAAAATGTAGAAGCCAATAATGGCCAAGAAAAAGACAAGTCAAGTGAGAATGCAGAGTCTGGGGATCACCCTCTTGTTGAAAGTCCCCCCCCCTAATTGTATTATCAATATTGCGGAGTTCTTGGAGCGAGCTAAGAGTTACGCTCACCTTGTCGTAGAAGGTGGACACTTAGAAGACCCCCAAGAATTAAGTACGATTGAAAAAAGAATAGTGTCGGTCTTTGTCGTGGACAAGCGCTCGCGCAAAATTTGTCGCTCGACGAAAGACACAGTGATAAAATCACTAGAGTCCTTGAGGTTCAATCCCCTCAGAATCGTTAAAGGAACCGGCTATTTTATGTGGGACGTATTGCTACCCACGCCGGAAAACTGTGTTGCTGCTTCAAGTCGTAACTTGATAACCAAATACCTAATATTAAGCACAGAGTATGAAGGCCAAAGAAGGACCAGCATGACAATATACGAGCTCCCTCCTCAGGGTATCGAGGAACACGTGGCTGCTTTCCTATCGCAGTATGGCAAGATATTAGGCGCTTTCTGAAATAGCCTGAACGGGCGGTGGATTTTCGAAATATTGTAAGACCGAAAAGCCTTCCTCTCCATCGCCAACTGTCTGGAAGTAGGGAGCTTGAGGCTGCCGGTCATTGTTACCGGCCGCAAACCGGTATGTTGGAAGTGCAGAGAGACTGGTCACCTCTCCTCTTCCTGCCCAGACAAGAAGGGCTCTGGAAGTCAAGCTCCAGTTGACCAAAATCCCCCTCTGTCCGCGTCTTTACCTACCACCTCGCCTGTAATGGGCATGTCAGCTTCTGGGATCAGTACGGTTAAACCTCCGGTTGGCGCAACATCTAAGGCCACATTCCCCAAAGAGTCTTCGCCCGCTGCTTGTACAGCTGTGGTGAAGGGGGAAGGGGAATGGCTGGTTGCTGATAAGGCAAGATGGAAGCTCCAGACAGCGGGTCCTCAGTCCCATGAAGCCCCAAGGCCGAAAGGCACACACAGCCCCACTCCCTCTGGCATCGTTAAGGGCGATACCCGGCTTCAAAATAACTCTTCAAGAAACAACAAAGAAACCTGCCCAAATCTCCTACTCCTTCAACATCCATCCACACCTTCACCCAAGAAACAACCTTCCCCTCTGGCAGCACCTAAACCAGCCCTTACCGACAAAAATCCGGCTACACCCCTCTTCATACGCCCAGTCCTTCCCCAGTTAAACAAAGATCCACCTACACCCCTCTTCACAGTCCTAGTCCTTCCCCAGTTAAAGATTCTGAAATGCACCCTCCTCCCCCTAAAAGACAGAGAGAAACCCCACACAGGAGCTTAAATATAAACAGAATAAAACGCAGAAACATATTTATAACTCGGGGTAGGATGTGTGCAGTATCTCCCCTGCACAAGCCGAACGAGTAAAAGACTACGGCAATCGAATTAAAGATCTCAAATACCTTCTTTCTATGAGAAGGTATGCGGATTTAAATGTTGAATGGCCTCAAAACTTCCCGAATGCTCAAAGGATCCTTACGGTAATAAGAACTGGTTCAGGGGCTAAGCAAGCTTCGGCAATGCATGCAGATGCTCTCATATCGCACAAAATGTCACCTCCAATAGCAATCGTTGAAAACAAAGAACTGAAATATGGTTAGTCGCGAGATCTGTTACCTCCATCCCACTGATGGCGGTCTGGGGGTGCCTTGCGTTGAGACTCGTCGACATACGCTTCGCATTACCTATCTCGACCGGATAGAACTATTAGATGAGAACGGCGAATTCTGGAAAGAAGACGCCCGTAAAATTTTCCTATCATTGAGAAATGTACCCTCGTGTGAGGAGGAGGCCGTCCGGCCGGCTGGCCGTACTCCACGAGGCAAGGGCTCTTTCTATCGTGAATGTCGGCTTGCCCTCAAGCGACTCTTACGGGCAAAAGTTGGCGTCTCCGACGTCCAGACGTTGTCCCGTAAGTACAGGTGTTAGTGGTTAACGTTCAGAGTGCCGTTATTTGCGAGCTCGGGCTGACGATGCGGGAGGCTCGCTGCATATGGCTTTGGGCGCCCGGGTTGAAATGTCTCACTAACACTGAGGCATCACTCACCTGCCTGATGATTCGAGGGGCCCTCTTGGTCACCAAGAGACTTTGTTCAGCGGATTTGATAAAGTCGCCAAACTGCATTCGCTGCAGTGAAGAGGTGGAGAACCTAGGTCACGCCTTCTTTCAGTGTAGTGTCGTAGCTCCGTTGTGCAAGTTTGTTGAAGACATGGTTCGCATGCTGCGCGGAAAGATTTTTGTCCTCGAGGCCAGTTCCGTCTGTAGCAATATAGTACCGTCGTTGACTAAGGCTGAGCACTATGTGTTCCTATGCTTACTGGGGGTTATGCGAGTCGTGATATGGACGACAGAAAGAATTTCATGGGGACGAGAAGTTTACCTCTTCCCAACTTATCTTGTTCAAGTCAAGATCAGGACGGAAAAGAGACGACTCCATCCATTGGAATTTAGCGGAAGATGAGTGATTCTTGCGCGTCTCTGCAGAGTGAAAGGTGCTGACTTACCGTGGCATTTTGATGCCGGTTAGGCATTAATAATTTTGGGAATTGCTGGTTTAAACATTGGCAACCCTTCTCTGTGTATAGGTTAGTTTAGGTGGGTTTTTGTTTAAGTTTTTTCTCCTTTTTGATAGTCAACTAAGCTAGGGTATATATGCTCATTGGCCCCTTTTTAATTCTGTCCCTATTTCTTTTCTTTCTTTTGTTTAATTCCGCATCCCTCCCATTGTTAGGTGGTTAGTGATGCCAGTTCTCTGGTAGGTGCAGGGCGCCTTTCTTTTCGGGTGTGTTTTTCGTATTTGTTGTTGTGTTTGAATGAGTGAGTATTTGTATTGAGTGCATGACTTGTATGAATGTTTTATATTCTTAAAGTCCCGCATTGATTTCATCCAGTTTACTACTAACAAAATTTTTGTTTAGTTTCTTGTACATAGATTTTTGTGAACATTTGTAAATACTCATTGGGTTTTTTTAGATTTTAAATTGTTATTTTTATTCCACTACATACAATGAATATGGGGACTAATTTAGGACTTCATAGAGTTTCTGAGGCGTTATGGTGGTTGAAGTAAGAATGGCAAGTAAGAATGCGTTGTTTTGGTGAATGGAATATTGTTGGTTTGTCTGGGTCAGTGATTGTGACTAGCTAAGTTTAATCTTAAGATAGATGATGACCGTCCTTTTC